GATGCACACCAACTTGTGCCATTTTATATTGATTTTAGATTATTTTCTCGTAAATCTTTAACCCCCAAAACAGTGGAAAGTATGTCATTTTGTCTAATGTCTATAGAGCCAGTAGCTCTCAGCTTGGTTCTGTGCTGTGTAGCTTTGCTGTCATATTCATGTCTGAGGAAAACTAACCATACACGTTCTCATCTGCAGCTAAAAGCAAAAGTCAGGGCGCTTATTTTAGATTACCTTTCTTCCGGTAGAAACTACCATGCAGGTCTTTGAGTGATGCAATATAAAAGCACCAGAAAGCAACAAAGAGTCTTCAACTTGGCGCTAAGCCTATCAATAGTCAACTGGCTTCACACTGAAATCATTTCAAACTTCTGTTATTTATGTTAAAAATAATAATAATTTCTGGAATATTACCAAAAGCAAAAATCCAGTTTTATTGGAGCTTTACTGGGTTGAACCTGTTATTTGAATATGGTCGATACAATTAATTTTATCACAGATAAAAAAAAAAGAATATTAAACTGGGATTTCATTAATTGTAGGTGAATAAACACCTTGAAACTTGAAAGGTGAGACGCAAACAGAAACAGCGTCAAAGAAACAAACAGCAGTGGCTTCCTTTCGCTCCAGGAAAGGTGAGAGGTGGGTACTCAGGGAGGAGTAATTATTCCCATCACTCTACCGTCACTGTATGGGCGTGAGAAAAAAAGCACGCATATCATCTTTTCATACAAGCCTTCGATGTGGGTGGTGTGGTAAAATGGTTTTAAGCTGATGCTGGATGATTTATCAAGTAGCAGAGAACAGGACTGGGCCTGTGGAATGAAGGAAATGTCATCCGATGCCATACGGGTTGTATGAGCCAAGCATCCGCAAGCCCATATTCTCACCTGTGTCCAAACACGCTGACTGATGACCTCCAGAGAAACTGAACACTGCCTCATATTAATATAACAATCTGCACTAGACACACACACACACACATATATATACATACATATATATACATATGTGTATATGTATGTATGTATATATACATACATATATGTATACATACATATATATACACATACATATATACATATATACATATATATACATATATACATACATACATATATATACATATATATACATACATATATATACATACATATATATACATACATATATATACATATATATATATATACATGCATATATATACATATATATATATATACATGCATATATATACATGCATATATGTACACATACATTTACAACATATTTAAAGACATACTAAACCATTAAAAAAAAGTTATCATCTCATCACCTTGGGTCATGGCCAATGTGGATATTACTTTGATATGTTTCACTAACACCCCTATATACTGCTCTAAACATGACAAAACTGCCCCAAGATCCGATCTGATGTATCAGGTATCAAGATCACGGTGCCAGGCACCACTGGAGGTTACGAGGCTGTGACGAGCACCGCTGTAATACCGAGGTCCTCTGAAACAAGAGTGTATCTGAACTGCTTATCATATCAAAGCATGCTGATTAAGGCAAGCATTCATTTCAAGTGTTCACCTAAGCTGAGGAGCATGAATTGGTGGCTAAGCAACATATGTTGTAGCCGGGTGTTTGTGCTGAGTGCAGGCACTATGGCTTTTATCACACAGCAGCATTTTATGCCAAAGGACGGGACGGTTTCTTGTCTTATTTCAGTCCACAGAAGCTGAGCTGGTTATTGTGAAATAAGTGTGCTTAGTAGTATAATCAGCAGCCAGTCACAGGCATGGCAAAAGCAAATGCAGTAAAACAACGAGCTCGGAGGTGCCCGTGGAGAAAGAGCCCTCAATGTTTTTCGGGCAGGCTGTTCTGTTGCTCGTGTTTGCGTGGTGAAAAGGATCCTCTGAGGAAGCAGGAGAAAAAGATTAATGGGGCCCCTCTGCATGCACACTCGGATCAACGGGGATCAGGTGAGAAGGAGTCTATCCAGATTACAGTGGAGGATCTGGGAATAGTTAACACTAACTTCAGCCTGTTTGATGAGGACTCTCTGACCCCGAGGAACAGCATGTCTCGCTCAGCAAGCTCTGTGTATGCCTGCTCAAGAGCTCTGAAAAAGAAAAGGCTGAAGCCTCTGTCTTCACTCTCTGTACAGCCCCAGGCTGAAGCAGCAGTCACTTCTAGCAATGGAGAAGATGATGAGCAAGAGGATGAAGTGTTGTCTGGAAGCAAGTTGGATCCTGAAAACTTTTTGACACCACCACCTGTCATCAATCTGATTCCACCTACGCCCTCTGACTTTGCAGAGATTGATAAATTCTTTGAAATGAATTCAGAGGAAAGTGTGACACACACAACTGGCATTGATGGAAGCGTTGCTGCTTGTGACCAGGACGAGGATAAAACAAAGAGTGTGGAGACTGAGCAGCCAAAAAAAGTATGTGTACTGGCTGAGAGTACGGCCAATAGTGAAGTCGAACCTGAGAGGGGCCTTAGGGATGAGCTTGGAGAACAAAGAGAGGCTGTGTCAATTAAAAATAAAGAGAAAACTAAGGGTGAGCTCTTCCGAACCACCTTCCAGGTGGCTCCTCTCCCTGAGCTTCAGGAAAAAAGTGAGTCTAACAGTTTTATTTAAATGTACACTACAGTTAGTCCTTTTCTGCCAGGAGCTAGTTGGATGAGAAGATAAATATCAAAGGATTTTTTTTTGGTTTTCAGTGGTGAGGTAGCACAGCCCAGCCTGGCCAAAACACTGAGACCACCTAGCTTAGCTTTGAATAGTGTCCCTTCAAAAACTCCAAAGCAGTCCTGTTTCCATGTTGCATACTCCAAAGTCAAAATATCTCGTGTTTTTGCATTAAACTCTGTCCAGGTAAGGCTTTCAATGCACTGCAGACGGATCTCATAAAACACATTTGATGCATCACAGAAGGAAAGGCACAGATGCAAATAATAAATGTCAGAGTTGCATCAGCGGCCTCGTGCTCTGCATCCGCTCCATCCTGCAACGTAACGAGCTGACACGGCTAAATAGAGCACAGCTAAATATAAAGTTGGCAATGAGGCAAAAGAGAAAGAAAGAACAAAAGAAAAGTATGTGTTTCCTTTATCGTGTTTTATTTCAAGCAGATTTAAGTTGTTGTTTCCTTCTCTATCACAGGGAGCTTCAACACTGGAATAAATCTGTTACCATTTACTGAGCATAACTTGGGTGAGTTTTGATGACATGAACTTGCAAGTGGTTGTGTTTAAACCTTTTTTGTAAGCTTTAGGAAAAAAAACTTAGGTGTGAGGTAAATGACACCAGATGATGATTCTCTTCATCCAACCATTAAAGCTCCTGTGCTGCCTCATGGTTTTGATCTTAGCTCCCTGTTCACATTAAAATTGCAGGCATTATTTGACACGGTTACAGTACCTCGAAAGCCTCCTTGGGGAGTTGCAGAAGTTCCCCTTTGTTGAAATCTCTTTTTGGCCATTGTGTGTGTATTCCCAGTGTGTAACTGGTCAAGCTGTTCCCAGGTTTTGGGTTCCTGTGACTCAGCATGCTCTCCTCCCTCTCTCAAAGAGATGACTCTCTTTTCAAACCAGAGCTGGACAATAACACTGGAAACGATAAGCATCGCTTTTGCCTATCCATTACATAAATGTGCTGAAAAGTTCTGAATCTCAAGCTTTGCTTTGTCACTGACCCTGTGTGTGTGTGTTTAAACAGTTGCCAAACTCTGTCACGCACAAACTTGGAGCGTTTAGTGTGTCTGCAGGTGTGGGTGCAAGGATGCAATGTGTTTGTCTGTGCCAACCAGTCAAGGGTAAGACATCTTATTTGCGTTTTGACGTGTCCCGACGGAGCCGACTCGGACTAGGAATGAAGTTCATCGTTCCATTGTTGGAGTTTTCACCCTTTTAAGGCAACATCAGGCCGGGTCCCTCAGCCTGCACCAAATTCCCTGTCCTTTGCTTTGGTTGGCATTGAGGGGTACAGCTACCCTCCATTACCATTCTCAGACACATCTCCATCTTGTGCCCATTCTGCATTCATGGTAAAAAGAAGTCATGGATTCAGACTGGAAGCGATTTTCTCAGCACTTCAAAGACACACTGTCATGTCTGAGGTCGGCTAGAGGATGGTGCTCCTACATGTCTTCGCATTAAGCCAAGATTCATCACTTTCCTTAGGTGGCTGTTCAAGTCAAGGCGGTTATGTTTTGCACTGAGTGTTCTGAATCTGCTTTGCAGCAGACTAGACTTTTGATCCTTCCCAGAGTGACTCAAGAGCAGCCAGGTGATGAAGAGAGTGCCAGCTCGCTGCCCCCCTCTATGCACTTCACTGTCTCTCCAGCTCTCAGACAAGATTCCACTGCTGACACGCATAAACCAATTACGCTGTCTTATCTGATTCTGACTCCATCTGAACCCCAATCCATGTCAAACCAGCCTTTCAGAGACAGGCCCCTGAAATGAAAAACACGCGTTAAAGATTTTTGTGTTGTTGTAATCTATTTGAACAGACTACTGTTTTTGAGTTCTCAGAGGGGTCCTGACACTTTAGTCTCAAAACATATAGTTAAGTCAGAGTAGTCACAATCACATCACTGCCCTGTGCTGCCTGAAAAAGCCAGGCTTTGATGTCATATTCTCAGCCTCATTCATCTTGCTTGTTATGATAGCAGATAATAAACATATCTGCTCGCTGACCAAGTGACATTTGGAAAATAGAAGAATATGCGCTTTCTGTGGGAAAGAACGTGGGCTGTCAGAGAAACATGTCATCAACCAGACAGACTTTACTGTGTTGCCCAGCAACTCCATCTAGCTGCGTCCAGTATCAGCACTGCAAGTAAACCTGGTGACCTGGGCGCCAGAAAAAGGACACATTAGCTTAAAAGGAAGAAAAAGGACTTGATTGAATTGCTTCTTCCTCTTCTTTTTAAAAAAAACAACAACACAGCTCTAATAATGAATTTTGCATTTATTGACTGACTTTTTCTTTGCAGATGACCTGACCAACAGAGACTCAAGTTTCTCAGATATTCTCAAGCATGAACTTTGCCCGCTTCCTCACACCACCATGATGGCTACATTTGCTCACCAAAAGGTTAGGCTATCAACCAAAGTTTTTTTTTTCATGATTGCTTCATACTCTGTAGTCTATAGTCTCCATCTTTGCTTAACGAGACTCAGGTAATATACAGAGCATCTACTTTAAGATATCTGACCTTTGCTCAAGAGATGCTCTGTATGAAGTCAAAATTACAGACTGTCTGTAAAGTGAATCTGCTTTTTCCTTGACAGAGGCCGATAACTCGTTCGTGCAGTCTCGAGGACAGGCTCACTAGGAGTGCCACTTTCCACGGTTTAACTCAGACCACAGATCGACGCCATGAAGAGGAGGGGTCGCCAAGACAGCGACGAATAACTGTCGGTGATTCTGGTAATATAATATGGCCAAGCAAGCTTTGTTACTACATAATACTACTATTCCAACTAATTAGAAACACAACCTTACAAGAAGCTCATCTGTTTTTCTTTGTGTATTTTGCACAGCATCCTATATGCCTCATTCTAAGGATCAGAATGGAAACTTTTCCGAGAAGGTACTGTAAGTCATCAAAGCCGAGCCTTCAGGGTGGCATCAGCACACAGCCCAGAGCTGCTGCAATTATAGAATATACTCTGTTTATATTTCCCAGCTCCCTTGATCTGTCAAAGCAATGACTCAACAAATAGTCTCAGGATTTTAGTCTTTGTGTCCAGGATTTGCCAAGCAAGATTGCTTGTATCCTTAGCAATCTACGTGTTAGCCGAAACACAAGAAAGCACAATTTTTTTTCAAGGCCAATCACTCACGTCCGGTATATGCTATCTCCAGGCATTAACAGTCATTTAAGCAATTGTGCAACTTGTATCTTAAGCAGCCACATCTCACGCTGGAGCGCCATAAAAGTGCTGATGCTATGGATTATTTGCATGGTTTAATATGTTGTGTTTGCTGTGTCATGCAACATAATGGGGAAATCCCACAGAAGAGGCAGACTTCATATATTTAATCATAGTTACTCTGTAAAGCTTTCCTTGAAGGGGACATTGTAGGTTTTTCTTCCAGGAATGTCATAAACAAAACCAAAAAAAGACAAAAAATCTGACTAAGGGAACAATTACACAAAAACCTGTGTTTAGGGTCCCCACTTAACTAAACATTTCATTGTCTTTGACAAAAAACATGTTTACAGTTAAACACACAAATATGTCTTTTTGGTGTAATATGTCCAAACCCTTATATCCAACGTAGTCATACTAATTTCCATTAAAGCTGTGATTCAGATGAATACACGTCTGGAATTTCATTGTTATGTCTTGATGTTTTACCACCTACTGACTTGTTGTTGGGGTTTTTTGTTTTTTTTTTGCATCCAGATGTTTGAGTCACAATCGTCTTTGTGCGTCATTTCCTGCTCTCAGGATTTTCCAACCGCTACTACTGTTTGGACTGAAAAAAGACCCCCCAAAATCCCCAAAACAGTACAGAACAACTACTCAAACAGTAATCAGATCGTTTTAGGAAGTTAAAATAAAGTGATCTGATCTGTGCAAATAAAAAACAACAACAAGAACAACAACAAACAGATAAGATCGGTACGACTGCAATTCAGTAGAAGTGGTAACTGCACGAACAAGATTACAAAAGAACGTAAAAGTATTGCAGAGTGTTAAGTTTTGGCCTGAGCTGTGCCTGATGCATCATGGCTCCTCATGGCAAAGAACTGACTGAAGCGAAAACGAATGAGCCAAAACACAGCTGCAGCAGCACTTAGATGATATCAGAGGAGTCATACTACCAATAACGCAGCCATCCTTGCAAAATTATTTCACACAGTAATGGCTGTTTATGTGAACTTGCAGCATAGCAAGAAGCCCATATGTGTGGGCAGCGCATGCTTTAGTCAGATAATATCAAAATAAAGCCGAAAGTTATGCTTTCAGTACACACCCAAGTACACACCCCAACAGTCAACATTTTTTGGGAAAAACTATTTTTCCAAAGAAGAAGGTAAAATAATAAAACTCCTACAGCAAGGAGTTGCTAAAGAGTAGTGCGTGAAAATTATTACAAAATTTTTGCAACTTGCTGGAAAGCAGATTTGTGCAAGACTTATATCAGGGAGATTTAATATGAAATAATACAAAAATATGATTTCATTTTGGATAATTCACCATTCTAGTTGAAATACACAGAGATATACACATTTTTTAGTACACAGCTGTATGCCAAAACTCATAACCAATGGTTTATAGATGCTTGTGTGTATGGTGTAATGCTATACACTCAAAAAATATGAATGTCCAAAATGCTGACTTTAAGTAATTTGATTACACGTAAATTTCCCATGGAATTTGTTACATAGGTACAGTGTAAATCGTTAAATGTAATGGAATCAAGCATGGGTTTTTTTTCTTAATATTTAACCATTTGAATAAATAAACCTTTGCTTTGATGTACTTCAGTTGCACTTTACTTAAAATTACTGCTTCCTGTTTATGAGGGCAAAGAGTCATTTTTTTGAGTGTATATACTTGTGTGGTGTGTTTTCACACACTTGTTCCACGCCTTTGTATAATCTGGTACAAGTTAGCAGCTGTCTAGCCTCTCCTTCTCCCCAGGATGTAGAGAGGCAAGTGGCCAAATCTTTCAGGGATCTGAACACTGAAGAGGTGTGCCAGTGGTTTACCAGTATTGGACTACAAAAGTGTATCCCTTTCATCAAAGGTAAAACACCGTCTACTGACAATGCATATTGGTTTCTTTTTAGTGTAGATGGAATAAACTGTAATTAATGAATGCTATTAAATTGAGATGGAAAAATAGATGAGGATATAAGAGTATTAAACCTCTTAAAACTGAAACATGTCAGTGTCTAATGCATAAAAAGAGGAACGTCTTCAAGAAAGTCCTGTTGATTAAATCAAACAGCCTACTAATCCATAGTATCTGCCCTCTAAAATATGATGCATGTGTTTTGATTGCATTTTGAATATTACATGTCTTAACAATACTTGATTTTCAGGTCTTGATTGTTGCCGTTTACAGTTTATTGATGGCTGTTAAAATCAGCTGATACATGAATAAATGCTTGTTGCAGAGGCAAATCTGTGTGGTGCAGACATGGCGTCTGTAGATGTGAACACTCTGGACACCCTCCACATTAGCACAGTGGAGGACAGGGAGAAGTTACTGTCGGCCATTTATAATGAGCTTCACCCTCCCAGCACGGTGACTCAGAGAATCGACTCATTGCTCGGTATAGTTACTATGTCAAACTATGTCAAATAATAATTCATGCAATGAACAATGTAACAATGTAATTTATTGATGTTTTCCTTTTTAAACAGAATCATTGGGGCCTGGTGATGTGGAGACATTCACTGCAACGCTGGTGTCAATGACTAAGTCCAAGTCTTCTCCTCATGTGAGCTGTTTGAATACAAATCGGCGTTCCTTCAAGCTGAGGTGAAGCCACTCATGTAATGTGAATTCCAGAAATTTAAAAAAAGGTAGCAAAACAAACACAAAACCAATCCATCGTTTTAACCTGGTAATCTAATTCTGCTACAGAAACAACAGCCTAAACAACGCAGGGCAGAGGAGTGCTCAACTAATAGAGATTACTATCAACGGTGAGTACTAAAGCTCAGTTTGCTAAGATCTTCAGTGTCTGCACTCTTTGCAATGAATGGATGTGAATGTTAAATATTCAATTATGTTTCCATAGGCAACATACACTGAGGATGAAACAGGAGTCATCTTTACCTGTGATTTACTTTTGTGTTTCAGCGTCGGAGCGAATAGTTCATCTCAGAACCCCGAAGGAAACAACAGTGGGAAAGATTATGGACTTGTGCATCAAGATGCTGGGAATGACAGAAGACAAGAGTCTCTTCACACTAAAAGACAAGCAAGGTTCACTGAGCATTATTCAAAAATACTAAGCCATACTGTTTACGCAGTAAATGTGTTAAATATATGATTTAATTTGAAGGTTCGCCAGAGGAGCTCTCACCAGATCAACAGATTGGGACTCTACTTCCATCATCATCATCATCTGCAGCAGCAGCAGCGAGCAGTCAGCTGGAACTGCACTTGGTTAAAAGGGTAGATTAAAAACAATCATAATAAACAGTCCAGCATAAAACTCAAAAACACCAAAACAAAGCTTTCTGTATGATTTTTTTTTTTAAATTGTAGGACAAACCGACTGCTTCTGCATCCCAAGACAGTCCAGAGGAGAACAGCCCAGATGAAAATCATAACATTACCAATGACATCCGAGGCAAACAGCTGGCTAAAGAAGAGCGGATCAGGGAATTAAACCAACAAGTGGCCTCACTACAAAATGTCATCCGTCAGGTCCATATCTGTGTTTAAAAAATGTGCAACACTAAAATGATTGTACTAAATTAATATTAAACATCATGATCTGGTTGATCTTTACGTCCCCAAAAGGTCCAAGAGCTCCATCATGGCCTGGTAGCTTTTTGCTCAGAGTTGAAGAGCATGGATGGAGACACGAATGTCGATGCACTTGGCTCTGCTGAGCTGAAGCAGAGACTGGAGCTGGTTAACAGAAGACTGCAAGACAAAAGGCAGAACCTGCAGACCCTCAGAGACAACATTACCGACTTCACAGCTGACAAGCAGAAGTAGGAGGACCATCGCCTTTAATTAGCAACTTATTTAACGACACAAATACTTAAAAAAAAGAAGCTTTTTTCACCTTCCAGAGACAAAGTACAATTTAGAAATACAAGCACCTGTTGTAGTAGTTAATGATCTGTTGAGACTGTAGTAAATGACATTTACCTGAACCACATTTGTTTCTGTGTATGTGAGCTTGAACTTCCACGAAATGTGGTTCCTTTGCTTTTCAGGCAGTTGGAGGTTCATCTCTTGGAAAAGATGAAACTGAATTGCCACGTGTTTAAGGAGGAAATCTGCATCGTGCATCTCAATCGACAGGCGGCTCAGCTCCACAGCGCTTTGCAAGAAAGCCACGTTAAGGTACTGCTCATAAAACGAACCTTTCATCGATTTATTTTTAGTGCTGCTGTAGAGTTTAACTGGCACAGCGAAGGCCTGCAGGACTTTAATCAACAGCATGTGAACTGCAGCTACACCAATATGTGGGAAAGCTCTATGGTCTGAGTCAGAGAATGTTTTGACTGCTAAAAATAAACAATGAGAAGCTGATGTTTGCACCAAAACAACTCTAAATATTGAGAAAGGCATGCGTGGTATGGGATAATAAAATGCTACTGGAGAAAAAAAAAGGTCAAATTTGGAGCTTTCGGAATTTCATGCCATTGCGCATGCTGTCCCTAACCATATCAGAGCAACTCGTGTTCCTGACCTTTGCCCTAAAAATCGAAGCCAGACTTAGAGGATAAATTTACCTGCAGAACAAGTGACGTTCACACATTTGATCCGACTGGTGACTGAATTAGACAACACTGGGAGGGGTGGTCTTGGCCTCTTGAAGTGGAAGGCCAATATCTGAGACTCTTAACTTTGGTCCTCTGAGTGACACACAGTGTCTGCTCTGTTTCATTAAGCTGCGCACTTATCCCCGCTGTGAGAATGAGTACACAATGCAGAGTGAAACCCATTGTACGAACATGCACTTTTTTTTTTTCTCCCTGAGAAATGATGTTTAGCGCTGACATTCGAGAGCCTGTGACCATACCAACAATGGAATGCGTGTGACAAAAGCCACTTGGAGAGAGCAGTGGCGAAACGGGCCAGCGTGTGTAAAAGTATCTCCATCTATCCCCCGAGGTGCCCACTTTTTTTTTTTTAATGTGGCCCTTTTATCCTGCTGGAGAAGCCCTAACGAGGTGCCATGAAAGGACACGCGCGGCTTCGGCTTTGAAAGGTGCCCCGTGTCACGTTGCCACCCCAAGGCAACGCTTTTTTAGGTGGTGAGTTTGTGGGAAAAGCAGCAGTGCTAATGTTTATCATATGACCTAATCAGAGTTAACACACAGGTCAGAGCTGAGGAGCAGCCTGGGAACTGATAGAGCTGCTGTTCAAATAAGGAACAGACCGCCTTGTGTTTGGTCTTGTAGACTGCCCCACATTACAGACAATAAGGAAATATTTCATCATCGGCAGTCTAATCTCCCGGATCTATTGCAACTGGAGAGCATCAATAAAGCAGCCGAAGGGGAAGGCGAAAGAGAAACAGAGGCGCGGAGCGAAGGGAGGAGGGGAACGACAACAAATGGAGGAAATGACTTTAAATAAGCAGTTTAGCTTGGACGACTCAAAAACTTCAGACAGATTATTAAAGTGGGGAAGTTGGGAGAATTATGTTTCACCCAGGCTTGAGTCGCGCTTTGAGCGTGGGTCACGTTTTGAGAAGAATCTCCCACCTTTTATTTCTATTTTTTTGCAGTGACATGCACGAGTTTAGGAAACGGAGAGTGTGTTTCCGCTTTTTATGTAGACAAAGTCATCGTACAAGCTGCGGTTTATCAGTGTGATCACAGTGTCTCCCAATTCTCTATCCCTCATTTTCTTTCCCATAAGACCTCTGCTCTGTGCACAGCCAGGGCATCTGCATTCACAGTGACAGGACTGAATGCAGATCTACTAACACCCATCATTTCAAATGAAATATAATCCCTTCCACTTAGCGTCTATGTTATTTAGCCTGTCAGAGAATCTTTTCTCACTCTGTTTGAAACAAAACTCTTTCACAGATGATGTTTTAAACGGTCGCATTCGTGCAATATACGGCAATATTTCTTGTCGCCGAGCAGACGTGTGAGTGATTCCCACCTGAATGACCTTTGTGATCTTTCTGTTTGTGTTTTAATTGCCTGCTTTTGGTCTGCTAATGTGTCTGGTGGGGGAGGAGATGCGCTCCATGTCTGGCTCAGGTAGGCTGGGATTTGATCAGCTTTTGTGGGTAAACAAGAAGAATATGAAGAGAAAATTCCTCGGGTTCTTGGCGTGCGTCCAAAACGGAGCAAGCCGAGAGGGAAAACGCTGGGCATTAGAGTCTGTTCCTCGAGGGGCTTCGGCTGCGTTTCCGTGGATATATCCTGTCTGGCCCACTTGTCTGAAGAAAAGAGAAGCCTTAGCTTTGACCCCTGACCCCGAAAAAGCGGCATCCATTGCTCCGAGGCATTCACACGCCATGCAGGGGGGGAGGGGAGTATGCCAAGAGGCTGGATAAGTGAACACTGGAATTCAGCGGTCGGACTCACAAGTTATTTCGGATCCCTGCAAGCTACTTGTGGTGCGATCGCTTCCCAAGCTAATCATTACATCTTGGTGGTCTCCTGGCTTTGACGCAGCCTGGGCCTTTATCTCCCGTAGATTTCCACGTACGATATCTGTAATCTTTTTAGTTTGTTTTCTAAGAAGCAAAAATAATGAAGTTAAAAGTTTATCTTAAGAAAATGGTAACTGAGTTAGCGTCATGTTTCACTGGCACAGAAGCTGGTTTGGAAGTCAGTCCTTGTATAGCTGGCAACCTACACAGAGGAAGAAGAGGAAACCTGAACCCTATACTGAGAATGGTCTCTCATTATTTTGTAAAAATCTATGATGAAGCTGGAGGCCGTCTGTAAATGAGTATTACTGAGTGGTATTGATCTTCTCCGAACTTTCCTGAAAATCAGCCGTGGCTGAGACTTCACTACCCAGGGTTTGTGTATCTATTTACTGTAAGTGAGACATGGGACGTAGCAGATTTTGCAATAAATTTGTATCACTCCACTGCAAATGCCTTCAAATCTCAACCATCTGTCTCTAAGCTGTCTCTGATTGCTTGCTTTAAGGAATACGCTCTTTTTCTGCTTTCAGGAAAAGGCTCGAAAGAAGACTTCACCCATTGGTAGCTTGAGCCAGCTGGTGTCACCGCAGCGTCCGGCCATGCTGCTGGTCGTACAGGAGAACCAGAACCCTGATGGCCGTTACGGCTTCTCCTGTCGCTATGGGGAAGGCAGCGGACTTGTGGTGGTCGAGGCGGGCAACTCACAGCTCTGTGTGGATGACAGGTGACTCAAACAAAAACAAAAAACGTATTCATAAATGCACGCTAGTTAGTGAGAGCGGAGCTCAGCATCTTACTCATTTCACCCATTCTTTCATTCACTCTGTCTCTGCGCGTGGTAGCGATGGCAACCCATCAGAAAACAAGCAACATAACGCAATACTTGGATGCAGAAGAGAGTGAGAGGGAACAGATAAAAGAACTTCATGCAATTAAGAAATTATAGAATTACAGCGAGTACGAACTGTGCTTAGAGACACTGCCCATCATTTAAAACAATACTGCAGGGGAAAAAGAAGTCTGTGTGACAGAATCACGGTAGCTGAAAAGAGTCTTTCAGGCTCGCTGTTTGTGTTCCTTCATCGCAGCATTCGCGCCAATGCTCTTTACACAGCTAATGAAAAAATACAAGGAGCTGCTCTAAGTTTAACCTGGGTGTCTATAAAGAAAAACTAATAGAGGGCTTTTAACGAGCTCTGTGTAAATGTGTAGCTTTTTCAGTTTTAATGCTCTGTGATTTGAAGAGCATTTTTTGTGTGTTACATAAGCCGAGGTCTTACATTTACCTGCAAAGATGTATTTTTTCTCCACACATAACTTGAAATAAAGATCTAACACGTTATCTTTGCATGTGTGTGTTTTGCTATCAGATTGGTGGAGGTGAACGGTGTGTCGGTGGTCAACTCAACACACGGAGAGCTGACCGACCTCCTGCGGCAGGGCCCCAGCATTCAAGTCGTGGTCCTTCGTCAGCCTCCGCCTGCCCTCCCCTCCCCTCCGTCCCTGCAGCACATGGTTAGCTGTGATCTGGAGCAAACATGCTGCCCAGGGGGAGACGTGGGCAGCACAGAAACCCGTCCTCAGCGCAGGGTGATAGCCATATGATGACACACAGCAGTATTAAAACTGTCCAGTAATGTGAGATGCCATGTCGTCTTTTGTTGTTTTTACTGTACTGATGACACTATTCATCAAAAGTTGTTGACAGCTGCCTTTTAGTTCAGAATATCAAATAGCAATAGGGCTGTTTTTCACCATGTGTGCACCAGCTTGTTTTTGGTATTTATTAGCATGAAATGCATTTCAATGTATGCCTGGAGGAACAGCTATTAAAAAAAAAAAAGTAAGAGAAGAAAAGACTACATTTCCCTGTTTTATATCCTCTTTTGTTTTCAACTAAAATGAAGAAGCACAGAGTTTGACAGTTTCACTCCACTAGATATGTGATAAGCATTTCTTTTAACATCCACCAGAGTAGTTACTGAGGGTGTCACAATGTAAGACTGATTACTGTGCATGCTTCAACTTTTTAAAAACACATGTAAGGCTGGAAATAGTCTTACAAAAGTGATCTAATTTACAGGCGCATCCAAAAACATCCCGCCTGCACAGGTTTGTCTCTTAGATCGTCTGGTCAGCGTTCGGAGCAAAATATTTCTTAAAAAGATGAGTCACACCCCCCCATCCCCTTTCTAACTTGTAATGTAATCCACTGTGCTGTAGGAATAAACCCTTGAGCCCGGAAATGCCTCATTTCTCAGCCTCGTTCTCCCTCGTAAAGTGGCAGTGGATCATGCAAGTCTGACAGAAAGACAGCAAAAACACTACCAAACCCTGACCCAGACCCCAAGGGTCCAAAGAGCCTGAGAGGAAGAGTGATGAGACCAGTTTGGCTTGTCAGTTGATGAGAAAGGTCACAGGTCAGTCACCGACACATTTGTGCCTTAATGGTTTTGCAATCAAAGCCAAATGAGCTCCATATAATCCAGATGATGAGAGAGATGGTATTTTCTCGTTGCCAAACAGACCCGCAGCGAGGGAGGAGCGTGATACTGGCAAGCTGGAGATTTGAAATGCTTAGTCACAGGCATGGGAAATTGAAGTCAACCGCGCCACAACATGTTCATCTACCCACTGACACATATGAACCAAAATGACATACTTTGGGAAGGATAACAATACAATGAGAAGTTATCCAAAGCCACAAAACAATGCAATAGCAGGGTGTGGACACTTATAGCTTCATAGCAAGGCTGTGGGAGACTGAAAGAACTGAGAAAGGGAGGAAAAGCGGGAGAGGAATTAAAAGTCATGATCACGCTCGCTGTCAAAATAACCATGTAGCAGCAACTGAAGTCAGTCTAGCCTATTCTTCCATTCGGGGTAGAGAGACGAGGAGAGAAATTCATAGCTCAGTAAAGTTAAGCCACACAGAGACAGAAGGCAGAGGAGAGAATGTGTCATGGCTGCCTTCATGGAAATAAATTAACACTGGAGAAAATGAGGCAAAATCCTATAAACACTACTGCTGGAAAGAGAACATGGGATTCCCAGTGACCAACACACCCGAGAACACACACTCGCAGGCTTTGATACCCCGGCTATAAACTACTGCAGGCTGTCAATCTGACAAAAAAAAAAAATTAGGAGAAATCCATCTGGGTGAGTAACTGAAGTGACAACATGAGACCTGCTAAAGTCTTCAAAGTCAAAAAGATGAGCTGCGGGAGCTTACATTCTACTGTACACTAGTCGGGAACATCTGCAGTGAGTTTGAAATGTATACTGGCCTCTTCCTATTCTGCTGAGGCGCCTCAGGTTGACCCAGGCTGTACCTGACACATAGTGGCACAGAGCAGCTTACGCTGCATCTGGTTTGCCTTAGCAGCCTCGATAAAGCTACATCCAGCACATGCTGATAAGCTCAGAGAAGAGCCCGCTGTGGCTGGATTTCTCTCTTCCACCCAGCGAGCCCGAGCTTCCCACTCCTCAATCTCCGCTCCCTCCCACCTCCGTCAACTCTCTAACCACCTCATGACATTTAAGGGTGCCTGGCATCCGTTTGAAGTGGGAGAGGGGGCATTAGCTCTGGTTTCCTGCCCAAATCCCACACAACCCAATAAAATGCATGCAGGTCTGAAGCGAACCAAAGGAATTCCTTTTCACTGAAACGTTAAACAAACAAGTTTGGCATTTAGCCTCATATTACACTTTACAGTACAGAGCATTGTTTCCTAACGCAGAAACAACTCGGCCTCCTTGTTTTCTTTGTAATAATAATGCTCTTGTGTGTTGTGTTTGTATCCGCTCCAAAGACTCCAAATTACAGTTCACTGCAAATGTTAATTACAGTACACAATAATTGTTAATTCATGTAAAACAATTCATATTCAGGCGATTATGTAGCTTTGCGGTTAAGGATTATGTGACAATTCAGCTCTGCACCATCCCGTCTCTTATATTTCAGTAATCACTCAAATGCAGTGGGAGCTAGGAAGGTCAGCCTCAAATCCCAGGGGCTTTTGATTTCATTTTGCTGAGGTGGAAATGGGACCTCTGCCTTTTCCTCCGGCAGATCTCACACTAAGTAGCTCCACTAGGCACTTGAGAAAGTCCCCGGTCTCCTGGTGACCACTATTTTATATTATTTGACCTTTGTCTCTGGTTTATTCTCCCCTGCGTTCATTACCACAAGGAGGATGTGAGGAAATACTGCCATCTACTGGGAATCCCACAAACATCAGTGATGCTCCCACAATTGTCTTGTTGGTGCGCATGAGAAAATGCCTCTTGGGCTTGATTATGAAGTGATTCTGATTAGATCCCATTATTCATACAGAACAGGGAATGTATAACAATTATCCTCCTCGTGTGGATGGATTCTCGAGGTTGGGAAAAACACATTTTGAACGGTAATCAGTAATGTAATCTTCTGATAGATTTATTTGAATAATGCAAAAAATAGATGCACGTCTTCCTTGTCCAGGTGCTGAGCTCAAAACAAATCGACTGCAACTTCTGCACAACGGCTCATAACGCTGATATTACACAGACTTTAATAACTTCAGTGGCCTCATGATTTTTGCATATCTAATATACATATAAAAAAACAATTAAGTCAAACATTTATTATCATATTTATGAATTCTGGCTAATTTCAGCTTCGTCTGAAAAACCCTGCATGCATCGCTTCTTAAAAATATAAATAAACCCCTGTTTACTCCATCAACAATTTCTCACTCATCCAAGAACTCAAACAATCAGCATTTGCAGTGAGATCACTGAATATATTGAAACCCTGCATTTATTCGTTTTCCCCTATGCCTGCAACACGAGCACGGCTGCTATGTAAATGAGAGCTCGTCTCAGCTTATTTACTGTGCAACACAAGCATGATAAAGAACAACATGAGTAATTGATGGCTATACTTTGTGCTTAATGTTGGCTTAACTACCCCAAATGACCGTGTATAGGTTAGATATGACATAAGCTCCCGAGAGACATTTAACACTCACAGTGCAGCTTAATTAAAAGGGTAATGAAAAGGCCATTAGGATTAAGTCTAAGGTGTGTTTTGGATGAGATAAATATGTTGGGGAAATCGCTTTGTGTAGCTTTGCCAGCGGGCAGTGATTGAGAAAGGTCAGCATAAGGTGTTAAGTCATTTTTCCATCTATTCTCTGAAATATAGAGAACATAATGGTCCGTGTCTCCGTCCAGTGAAAGGTTTAATTAAAAGGAGATGAAGCTGGTGATAAGAAAAATCATTGTGGGATGAGTGGCAGGGATATTTTGAATTGTGTAGAAGAATTGTAGCACAGACTATAAAGGGGGGAAGGGGGGGAATATGAAAAAAATGAGGTGGATAATACATCAAAAGGGTTTTAAGCCTCTGATGATCCGTGGTTTCCTCTCTTCTTTTAGTCGCTGCTGTCGGGTTTACTTGTATAATAAAAAGAAATATCTTCCCACACTCTGAACAACAAATAGTTCATTTATAAACCTCCGGGCAATTTCTGGCAGTGGGAACCGTTCTGGCATTACTTCTATGCTGTGAGTAGGCTCATCGAGGAAGGAAAGGAGAGGCAGTGAAAGAACAAATCCACAAAAAACCAAACCAGGAATTGTCATGTGTTTGGCATAAATAATCCTACAATAAAGACAGAGTATCCAGTATTGAAACGATCGACACAGGGAAGTGATGGGTGTCCATGTTATGACTTGTGATGTGCATAATTCAAGTAAGAGCTTGATTTCGTGTACTGCATTGCAATTCACTTTGGTGTTGTAAAGATGATTACAAATCCTGTCTAGCCACGCAGCTCAGTCCCTCGTGATCCTCCTCTGATTATACTCTAGGTGGCAGTAGAGGTCTCAAAATCCTCCCTGTTAGCTACAAGAAATGGCAAACACTCTGAAAGTCTCTCAGTGAAACCCAACACTTGCAAACAGGGATGTTTCACAAGCATCCACGTTTGAAAGAGTGCCAGGCAAATCCTTAGCTCGAGCTGATTATTTGCTCCTCGATGGTTTGGAAAGTAGGCCAAGGCACCACTGACTCGGATTTGCAATAAAGGTTTAACACAAGCCAGAATAAAAAAATAAAAAAAACACATATCAAGCTGAAGAACCGACATTCTGATATACGAATATCAGGTTAAGGTTCTTCGTCCTCAAGTAACTGATTTTAGAGACATAGTCTTTAAATAGAGTTACTACATGCTGTTTGCATCCTAGTTTCAGAATAAATTCAACTGAACTCAAAAGGCTAAAAACAGTAGATGTGAACTTTCAACAGAAGATGTCTTTGGTGCCATACTTGTTGCTTTTAACACATTATATATGAAATATGACCCCAGCTAGTTCCTTCAAACTGACATCACACACTATCTTCACAAATGCACACTTAGACAGCGTGACGAAGCAAGCTGCATGAAACAGTGTGCTTGACTATATATTATTTAATGTGATTTTATGGGCTGCACACTGAGGCACAAACACACACACACACACACACGAACAAATAAAAGGGTTTACGTGGAGTGGTTGATGGCGAGTGAACAGGCCAGAAGAGATGGAAGAAGCACACCGGGGGGAATGATGAGAGGAAATGATGCGCATGATGAGTGCTGAATGGTTGGCCAGTGGGACAGACCCTGTCAGACTGTCTGCTAAAGGGGTGGAAGACACAGAGAGAGAGATGGCTGCAGAGAGGACAAGAAGGAGAGACAGAGAGAGCACAAAACAGCAGGAGCAAAATGATGATCAGTGTCAAAATTCTATTACTCTGTGACAACCAACCAAGGTTTCCCCTGTCTCGTTCACGAGCACAGTGACTGTGCTCCAT